TACACTTAGCTATAAATTCGTATCAGATTTTGTACGTTCCAAGATTGGCCATTATTTGGTACAACTGGCACTCATCCATTTTATGCTAAGAACAGTGATGAAACGTTTATGTAGTTATTTTCGTCCAACTTCGAGCTTCAAATTAATGTACCATAAGTACCATTTGTGATACTTTTATGTCATGAAATCGAGTCAGACTATCTTTCGAAATGGACCATCTGATATAGAAGAATCCAATTACTTTTTTATACTGAATGTCTGAAAGAATCAATCTATGTAAAAAAAGGATCAAAAATCCATTGTTTTTAAAAGTGCATTTGAGATATCTCTCAAACTATTCTGTTTCCAACATTTTACCCTAATACTTTTTTATACAGAATGTCTAAAAGAATCGATCTACGTAAAAAAGGGTTCAAAAATCCATTTGTAAAAAAAGTGCATGTGCATCGGGTAAGTGCATCGCTATACTTGATTTGAAATATTTCTCAATCTACTTAGTTTTCAACATATTACCTGTTGAAGCTTGATCAGCCGAACGATAGGTTAACGCATTCTGCATCCCTTAACGCGTTACGTTAAAACAACAAATTCACAAATGCACCTACGTCCGGTAGAGAGGAAATATTTTGCTCGAAAACGTTCTTATCCAGATAGTTTCGCGTGCACGTAGCGGTCGCATAAATATTTCTTTAGAATGCATTTTGCGTGCACGGAACCCAGCGTCATATCACGTATGCATACGTAGGTACGTATCTCTCAGTGGATCATCCTGTTGTTTTGTCGAAGTCGTTACATCCGCTGTAGACAGCCTCGTGTAATCCCCGAACGGGGACGAGCTCGTGTTATATGCATAACAGGGTGAACTTGTCAGGTAGACGCCAGTCAAAAGCATTTCATCCTTTATTGTTGACACGCAATCAGACTGAAAATGAATTTCTTCTGAGGTTTCAAAAAAAAAGGAAAAAAAGGGAGAAAGTGTCCTTCTTCGACGAAGAATTTATACAGTGACTAAAGATTCAAAGCACGCTCGCGACTTTAATTTCTTCTCAACTTATCGAACAACTTCATGGACGATGGATGATCTTTATTTTCGCATCGGAACCAATGCCGGGCTATCAAATTCGCAATCGTTCGTACGTGCATCGGTCGTTGGCGACTTGAAATATTCACCCTGGGAGCACATTCAATATTTAAAGTGCTTTTAAATGCATGTTTCACCGCGATTACGTTACCCCCGTTCGTGTTCGAGCCCGTGCAACGAATCGACTATTATCACCGTCGATGCATTCGTGTAAGTTTACTACATTTTTCATACCCTCACGGATCTTTATTTTCACGATTATTCCTTTTCATATTCGTGCGTTTTGTTGTTTTTCCATATATGCGGGAGCACGAACGCGCGAGCCCGTAATAAAAGGTTCTTGATTTCCAACCCTGTACCGTTTCGATTCGAGGGTGAACGCCGAGCTGTTTGCATGTTTCTCACGATTTCATCCCTCGCCCTAATTCGTCCCACCGTCGTCCTCTTTAAGATTACAAACAAATTCCTTTCTTTTTTTTTTCGTGTAACTTCGATCGATGCCGGACTATAAGTGGATGACGCGACCCAAGGAGCATCCAAAATCGAATTTGTTCTGGCGAGTGACGGCACGAGTAGCTTGGTTGGCCGTATATAACAATCAGGGCTTATCACGGTTCGTCAGTAAAAGGCTGACGAGGCGTGGGTCAATCCCAGCCCGGTCGATAAGGTCATCGAGCCAGCGAGCATAGTCATTTGCCGACACCGGCCAGCCACCTCGTAGAATTATCCTCGTTGACGAGCGGCCAGGGCTTACTAGCCGCATTAGGGACACGAATTTCTTCCGGAGATTCGCGTAAGACGAACGAGAAACACGTCTCCGGGTCGAGAGCCGGCAAATGTTGGAGAATCGAGCTGGCCCAATTTCTAACGAGCCTGGTTAAAACTCCGGCACACTCGTAGACTAGAACTAGCGAAATTTTCTCCGCGAATATTTTCCTTCCGATGCGATGGAGCTGCATCCTGCCGGGGTATTCGCAGTTAGAAGCGGCATGATTTTTTGGACACTCTGGCTAATTAGATTTGATTGGCAAAAAATTTCAAAGTCAAAATTTGTCAAAGGTTTATTAAAATGTTAATGGAAAAGAATTTACTGTCTCTGGGGCAAGATTCGAACAGTTTTAAAATAAAATACGGCGAAAGTTTCGAAATTTACTTGAAAATCTAATATATTCCGATGTAATTATCTCCTTATCTATTGGTACAGATACAAATCGAGAAGTTTAGTCCAATAAAGATGAAACTGTATCCATTACCATTAATTCACCCTTACACGACGAAACATCTTTCCGATTGTAAAGGGAACCGCGGTCCTACCCACCGAAACGAAGTAAGAGTGTATTTGTAACGGTGAATAAACGGAGACGAAGTGAATAACGATCCGACCGAAGATAAAGTTTGAATTGCCTTTACCAGAATTGCCGCCTAAGTGCATTAAAACTTCAAGCAGTTACCAACTGGGATTACCATGGAATGTCTCCTGTACTCTCTGGATTTTGATGCTGTGAAGTTCTAATTCGTTGGGTTCATTTGACGATCGTGCTTCGATCCTCGCTGTCCTCGTTTCCGCGTCCCCTCCCCTCTATCTCTCTTTTTCCCCTCTGTCCTAATTGCTCGTCACAACGGGAGCCCGTGATAGCGGGTAGAACGAAACGCGTACAAACTAAACCGCGCGACATTCCATCGCGAGAAACGGGAAATCGAGGCTGCGATTCGAGAATCAAAGGACGGACAGAGGCGTCGGTAGAATTTCCATCGAGTTTTATTGGAAGTTCGCCGGTGGTTTCCGTGGAATATTACGAGAATATATTCCACCTGATTTCGATCATCGACTGCTCTTCGAATTTATCATCGCCACCGAACGACTTCGGGCCAGCTTCGCTGCGGGCTAAAGGGTTCCTTGCATATCAATGAGGATGTAAAATGATCAGTGGCCGGTACTTCGAATTACCGATGAATATCGCCGCGTAAGGACAGACGGAGAGGCGCGAAATTGGTTGGGATCGTTGGAAAATGCCCCGCTTTAACCCTGCTCGTACCCGAACCGGTCGCTCGCGTCTCCGCTTCGAATTACAAGCGCGAATTCTGAACCCTGATATCTGCCCGTTCGTGTAACCCGATTACTCCAGTCAGATTCCTATTTGAACCTGAAACCTCAGAACGTTATGCTTCGGGCAGCTCCTTCTGCTATGAATGGTCAGCTGTGAAGATAGAAAATTGATCAATTTATTTGGGTGCATTGTGGCAAACTCGGCGCTGGTTATCGATGATTTTATCAAATTCGATAGGAAATTAGGGATGCAGAGGATATTGCCGCGGATGTTAATGGAATTGGATAACTCAGCCGATATCCTAGCATACTTCCTATCGAAGATACGAATCAGAAACGAGCTAGGATCTCGCATCGAAACGAACAGATTAGAATCATCTTTCTGGAATAATGACGTCGGCCGGTGCCCGTCGTTGGTACACGATATTAACGATTCAGATTTAGCACAGTCGAATGCTGGCTGCTTGATTGCGAGCCAACACCGATTCGCGAGACCCTTTAAATCGGGTCAACAGGATACGGTTCCTTGAGAAGAAAAGAAAAGAGGAGTTAGGTGGAGGGAAAAAAAAAAACCGAGAGAGACAGAGGATCGAAACAAAGTTTCAGTTGCAGTTCCAGACGTCTCTTAATTGTGACGAGCTTGATATTTCTGGGCGAGAAACACAATTTACCGAGAAACCAGAACGGATATAGTCATGTTTCGAGCAACCATTTCAAATGAATTAGTAAACGTTGCTATTCGAAAATTCAACCCGTTACGACGTGAAACGGGGAAAGAGGAAATTGTAAACTGAAATATTGAGATACAATAAATATTGTATATCTTATTATAATTGGAAGAACCAAAATTCAACGTTGATTGCGGGAAGCGTCAGAAATTATCGAGGTAGTTCGTCTACCTGATTCGTGTCTAGCATCGAAGCACTCGATCACAAGTGCTCCCAGTAAACATAATTGAGCACCGTCAAAATCGTCTTCACTCGAGAGATCCTCGAATTGCCGTTGTGAAATTTAGTTTCGATGACGTCCTAATTGCGTTCAATCGTAATATCCCCGTAATTACAGGACATAAAACGCTGCGTTTGCTACGGAACCAGGGGAGTGTAGCTAGTGTCTCCTGAACGAGGCGGCAAACGAATCGTTTAAAGAGCCGATTCGACGATTAATAGGGTCGTAATTCTTGAATAGCATCGACTCGCGGGCGTAATAATCAATTAGCGACGACTGAACGAAGCGGTAATTTTAATGTGGCAAACAATGCCATTAGCATGCAGCTATTATCGGAGATCGAGGCTCGAACTGTGTCACGGTGAAATTATTCCTCTCCCTCGGTTGGCGAAAGTAAGAGAGGGAAATATATGAACAGAGAGAGGTGAAACAGTGGGATATAAATGAAAGTGCTTATGCACCATGAACCCATCGCATTCCGCTGGTATTTTACTTCAATAAAGAGTCACAGCTATATTGCACCAGAAATGGAAGTACTCATTCTATTGTCTGTGTCGTCAAAGTATACTTGACTAATGGTACCAACCGGAAAAACCGAGATTCTCTATGAAAACAAAAGGAATACAATAAAATTCTAGAGAAAATTGATCTCCTCGAAAACTAAAGCATTTTCTTTAGTTCACATTTTCTATATGAAATCTTACGTTCTTTTCTTCCACTTTCTCAGAATGGTTATACGAGTATTGTGATTTACGTACATTTAGGAAAACCTCGTGAGACCTTTTCAAACAGGAACAATACAGGCTCGTTGTCATTATTAGGCAAACAACTTGCGAATAATTGAATGTTTCTCTGCGGGCTACAATGCCAGCTTGGAATTTATATGAAAACTTTATTCAACCGTAAATGAGAGTAACATTGTGCGACGTTCGTAACATATTTATATAGGTATATACATACAACAGACAGTGACAATATCATCGAACATCACATTAAATTATCCATTGCTTTAACTCTTACGTCAACCAAAACTTTCTCGTCGAAACGCTAGTAACCTTTTATTTCCTTTTCCCGATCGGGAGAAATCGACCGATCTGAAGATCCCTTCTGAAGAATTGTTATCGAGTCGATGTACCATCTTCGATGCAGCTTACGATAATCTTTTATCCGATCGTATCGAGATTCGGTACATCGCTCGTAATACGATTTATTATCTTTGCAATTGGATTATCCTCGTTGACAACGTGTATGGACAAGTGAAACAACTACTTGGATGATAATGGGGTTTTGATAACATGCTGTAATATTAACATTGCGAAACATCGTGGTCCAGAAAATCGTTCCCATTCTTCGTTAGAAAAACAGAAACGCGTCCCTTTAATGGATTTATAATATACAGGAATCGCTGAATCATGGGTATAAATCGTGCGGGTTAATAGAACATTTAATGAAAATATGGTTTCACGTCACCTCTCGATGGATATTATCCACCAATGAAGATAAAAGATTGAGAAGAAATGTTCATAAATAATTATTTTCAGAGAAGTAACTAAAATTTTTAATGTACCATAAATACTTATTATCGAGAAATATGGCAACCTGCACAATTTGTATCAATAATTCAACCATCCCTTGTGATTCACGAACAACAATTAACCGACGTCAGGAAATATATGTACAATAAAATTGAACCTAACAAAACGAAAATGACACACGATTGGCACAATTCGACGTTAACGAGATTCCTCCTACCACGATTCATTAACACAAAGATTATCACATAATTCCTGTGGATATTCTAACGTGAAACATGTTTACCAATGGCATCGTTATTTTCCAGCAAACCTCGGTGTTCCTCGTAAACGTCGCGTCGGTTCTTCTCTACATACGTGTAACACCTGAGCACGGTCATTTTGTGGACGTCAGATAGAACTAATTTGGACATTATGAGCAAGGTCGTCCGTGCGTAGCAAGGCAATAGAAGATAATGTCATTAGGCTGTGCTGCATTACGCCGGGATTATCACGATTAATTACGCGCACCTGTACGTAGGCCGAATATTCTGATATTCGATTAGATCGCGGTTAAGTTTGTCCGTTTTAAATCGGATATCCGATGGTAGAACCATCGGAACTCTATCACGACATCGCGTACTTTTCACTTTTCTTTCTTTTCCCGGGACAAAGTTACGGAACCGGTTGGTCGACAGCCGCGGCGATCTCCCGTGGGTCGTTGCCATTAACGTAACAAATTTTCAGAGTGCTACCACGGGGGGAAGAGAGGGAGTTAATACCGCGACCGAATAAAGTTATCGCCACGAGGTGGAACACTGTTTGGAAAGTTTCGGTCGGCAAAATGCGTCGGTTCGCGACAGGATTATCGCCATTAATCGTGCCACTCGTCGCAGACAGATTACACAATTACGCTTCTATGATCGCGATAGTACACACAGCTTACATTTACACGTATCACAACGGTTAATAGAGCGGGTGGTGTCCCGTGAAATTCTAGCTCGTGCTCGACGTGTAACCTACCCCCTGTACCCAGTCCGATTTCGAGCACTCTTTTCAAAATGTTTCTGCACCGAACACGAAATCATTTTTCCAGATACATGCGACCACTTCGTTATCCACGCGGTACTACTACGTACGCGGGTTTAGTTGCTTGAGCATCGTTAACGCTATTTACACAGGCATAGTTCGTTACACGGAAATGTATACGACTTACACTTTTATAGGAATCCGTAAAAAATAAGGATCGCGGCGCTGGGAATCGAACCCAGGACACCATTACAGTCCCCTGACATCCCTATTTGCACGATTCCTTTTTATCCCCGAGTCTGCAGCTCACAGTCTCGTTAATCCGAATGAACCTCATTTTTTACCTTTCTTTTACCTTTCGAAGATGCATTCACAGGTCCAACTAGAGTCTTCCAACAGCGTAACACTTTTTCTTGAAAGAAAGATATAAAGAAAAAAATAAAGAAATCATCACAACCTGTGGATATTCCATTTTTTTTATACTTTTGTCCCTGATTGACAAGCGACGGTGTTACACGATGGTCAGTTCGTGGTGGTCGAATGCAACACCAGTTTCAACGTGGTAAACATCATCAGTAGCGCACTGCACGCCATGATAGATGGCGATGACGCGATGCTGTGCTGCATCGCGGCTGGATTATCTCCTTTGAACACGTGCACCAACACCCGGGCCGGTTGAGCGTTGCTCGCTTCGCAGGTGTAATTTCCGGAATGGCGATCGGACGCACGGGGCACCTCCAGCCAACTCTCGCGCCCCGTCAGATCGGTGCTGACATTGACCCCTCGATCCCCGTCGAAGTTGATCATCCGGAAGTTGTGGTACCAGAATAGATAGGAGGGCGTCTCGGTCGATTTTTTCACCTCGCAATGAAGCTGCAACGTGCTGCCCGGCCTCACGAACTTCTCCGAGGGACCGTCTATCTCGGCTCTGGCCTCTGCAAATGGTAGAACGTGACGCGTCAGACGTGAGCAGCTTACCGTTCTATCCCATATTGTTTACCAGGGTCCAAAAGCGGTTATGAGGAGCGGGATGGTTGAGGTATGCATCGTGGCTGGTTAAGGGTTGTACGGGGACGGCGTACCAAGCTACTACCCTTCCTCTCTTTCTCTCCTTTTTACCCTTTCACGCTCGCACGATCCCCGACAAAACACACTCGCTGGTAAAATTAACCCTTTTGTAATTTATTCTCGGTCACGGGAAGTGCATTAAAGTATGCGACGTTATTATTATAATTGGGAATTTTATTGAACCACTTTACCCCTTTACCTCGGCCAACGACGCGGACTGACGCGACGACGCCCGTGTGTCCGCTATAGAATCAGGTGTGACGAACGCTGTAAACACGACGGCGGAACCTTCGTCACAGCCCTCCACCCTTCGTCGGGATACACTTTTGTCCATCCCGACACACCCCCCGTGTCTCTGTCGACCTTTCGTTCATCGGCGTGTCACGGACGAGCGCACGCGAACGAAAGCGTGGATCGAGTTTTAAGCGCTTCTCTGCGTGATACAAGAGCGTGCTCTTTTGAAGCGTGCACGCTCCAAGTGCTTCTGCCGACCATTGAATCGCCGATGGGATTGGCTGCGGCAAAGTATCGACTGCGTTGGTGGAAATAAAAAAAAAAAGGAGAGAGAGAAATAGAGGGAGTGAGAGAGGAAAAAATAACAGGGAATTCGTAGCTGGACACGAGGGGCTGTGATGCGTTGAAAATTTATTAAAACATCACGACTCGAGGACATCGAGGATATTCCTGTTGATTGTTCGTTTTTTTTATACCCGATGCAATTTTCTCGCGGTTCGAATGTGATTTTTTGTTGACCGTTCCGATAAAACAATTGCCCTTTAGTTTTGTTTCATTCGTTCAGTTCGCTGATTTCACCAATTTGTATCCTTTTTAACTTTCACTGTTTATTTTATTCATCGAACATTCAATTAAAGGGTTGAAAGTATATTTGGTTATTTAATTTTTTGATTACCTTTCAAGGAGGAAAGAAATTTTAAGCGGTCGCCTGTGAGTTCAGCGCAGAAATTGAGAAGCTTATTAAACGCGGTGCAACGTAATCCCTCCTCTTCTGTGTTGCGAGTTTTAGGGATGACGTGGCTGTATCGGGGATGATTAAAATTAGATTCACCCGGCGAAAAGCTCTCTATGTACACGAAGATCGCGTTATTTACCTGGCTCCGAAGGGAGGTTAAATTTTATAATTTTCAAACGTCTACATAATTACGTTCCTAATGAGGTGCCATTAGGGTCAATCTTGAAAAGTGCCTTCGTTGCGTCAACAATACCGCGATCCTATTGATTTCGAAGTTGAATTCTTTCCGATTGGATGCACTCGTTAAATACGCCATTACCAACTTCCTATTAGCATCGATTCAATCTGATCCTATTCGAATACAATTTTCTTTTTCGCGATAACGTAATTTTTAATAACAAACGACCAGCTGTCAAAAGCGTCCTGTGAATATTCATTCAATTAACCTGAATCAAATTAAAATATAACGATAATTTTTCACTTTTTCGATTGCCAGCACTTTGGTACTTGAAAGTGTTACATTGATAAATGACAGGCTCATTACGTTCCGCGCAGACCACATACAGCGATTACCTTTAAATTCATGCCTGTTCGAACAAGCAGCGCAATTAGCTGATCGATTTAATGCTCGTCCATCGCTTAAATATTTGAACACATCGATGCATCCTATGTACATTACATTTCGTCCCGCGTTATAAACCCTCCTCGCCGTTTAACACCGCATAAAATGCTCTATAATCGAAACGTCCCGCCAGCCAATGCCGTTTATATATCATTCTTGGATCAGAAAAATCTCAGTCCATGAATTTCAAGCGTGCAAGAAGGAACGTAAATATTACGCGTCCCAGTTTCGGACAGGAGGTTGGTAGAGAGGGTGGAAGGACATAAATATTAAATGTACCTGAGGAAGGCTCTCGTACGTATCCGTCAGGATGTCACGGTAAAAACACGGCGCCGGAAACCGAGGCAAAATTAGATAGCAACAATTCTCCCTTTCGGTACACGCGAAGGACAGACACGAATAGAGACGTATACTCGTTTTCAGGATATACACACAAATCTATCGGAGAAAGGAGGGACAGGGAGTCGAGTAGAATACTTCCAAAAACTGGAATCTAAATGCAAATACGCGAACAGAGGGATGCGGTTAAAACGACCAGGGAACCAACCGAATCCCGTAATTCACGAAACTTCTGCCTCCTGCGCCTGATAAAAACCACTTTCTCGCTATTGATCGACCCCAGTCTGCTTAATAAAATCCAGATGAAAGAGTTCTCGCCCTCTCGAGAGGCCTGCTTGGACCCACCTCTTTCACGCCGACGCGTGGATCCTACGTAAATAGGGATGAAAATGTAAACACTTAAAGCGTAGCTCAAGGAGAAAGCTCGTCAAGATTGAGGGAGAAAAGAGAAGAAAGCAAGAAGGCATAAGAAAGAAGAAAGGGAATGCTGAAAGAAAGAATGGTCGATGCGAAGGGATGCTCAAATTCGCAGGCCTAGATTCTCTTCACAAAAAAAAAAGAAAAATTATTTCCTACTGCACAGAGGATGAAAAGTGCAGTGAATTATTAAGCAGCTAATTATTTGGTAACGTGGAATGATATTCGTAAAGAGAAATTGCGAGGGTGATTAAAATTTCAACAAAAGGAATGCAATTATGCATATTAAATTCTTACAAAGTCATGCAGCTTTCAGTCTCTTTGATGATGACGTGCATGACACTTTTTGTTTAAGATAGCCTGTTGAATAGGTGGGTGAAGTTTGTTGAACTGCTCACCGGGCAGCTTGTATACCGGTGCTGGCTTGTTATCAGGAGAAACGTGGTTCTATGTCTCTGTGAAGTAGGCGAGGATGATGCTCTTTACGTGGTCCTTTCGCAGGAAGCTTTGCCACTTTTCGCGCTCTTTCCGCGCTACACCGAGCCTCCAACAAAAGTGGACGTGTGCTTGGTCTATTGTATTTGCACGTTTAAACGTCCGCTCGTTCTATGTAATATTCGTTATTGCCGCTGACGTAATTGCGAGCGGTGAAGCGAAATGGAAACACGGTCGAAGAAGAAAAGAGCAATATTAACGATGAAAGGATCGCAACAACCAGCTGTTGTTGTAGTAAAGCTGTGCTAACCCATTGAACGATCGATACCCGTAATCGAAGCGAAATATTTTCCGAGTTCGTGCACTTCGATCATTCCTGTCCGCGAACAAACGAACGAACGAACGAACGAATGAACGGGCCGAGGTCTCTTTTTCGAAACGGTTTATTTCAATTTCATTAACCACCCGACAGAATAAACTAAAATTTAATTTATTCCATCCGGCCAGCCGAGTCGATTTTTCAATCGGGATCGGAAATTCGCGCGAGACACTAAAGTATATTAAAAATCGATCAAAAGAGGAACAAAAATTGTCGGAGGCTCCGGGGCGCACGTACATACGTATACATAAACCCGCGGTGGATTGTTCCATGAAAAAGTGTGAATAAATTATTTTCTGCTATTTCATCACGTATTTCGAGCTCGTTATTGCGAATATTTTATTATCTTTATTGTATCAATTAATTTCATTCGTTTTCATCTGTAACAATTACAGACTCGGCATCAATTTTTTATAAGAACTCCAATAATAATAGAATATTTCATAGAGTAATAAATAAAAATTCAATTTGTTCACACATTTTCGCGAAAAGGGATACACTACCATGCAAGGTCGGATTAAATGCAGCAAATGTATCGGATGAAAATCGTACAGTTCCACGCAAATAGCTTATACATCGGTGTTTAATTTCACGCTTACCAACAACCTCGAGGAACAGAAATATACTGGTAGGTGGGTGGGTGGATACTTGGCACTCGTACAATCCGGCATCTCTCGGCTGGACGTATTTTATTTGAAGAGTCCAATCCTCGCTGTGATGGAAATGAATTGGCTGGAAACGTTCGTCGTAGGCGTACGCTATCCTCCCGATGGTCAGTAGCTCCTGAACGTTCTTCCGTTTGATCCACGACACCTGAAGGGCCAGGTAAAAAAAGGTCTCGTTAACAAGAATGATCCGTCACCGTTTCTGACCGGAATTTGTTAAAAAGACGGATCTGACTGGTGGGATTCGGTGCTCTCCACGAATCTCGTTCGTGAAACTTGGGAAATTTCACCTGTAACGACTGGAATGTCCGCCTTTTATCGCTGATCGAATTTTTTTATCATTTGTCCCCGCCGAAATTGGAAACATTCCGCCGCGTTAAAAGTCTACCCGATAGAAGACGGAAGTAATTCGGACCTTGTTCAAACCGACAAATCTGTCCCATCGGCGAAAACGCCGGATTTTAATTAATCGCTCGGCGGTGGGCGATGTTTGAACAATAATTCGAAACTATGGGATTCTTACGTCGCTGAGACAACGATTTCTTCTCCTTCTTCAGCCAAGCTAACCCATATTTCGCAGTAAGAACAAATAACAGGCTGTCTGATAGCGATTCTCGTTTATTCCATGTAGGTAATATCCAGCCCCGACCTTCCACCATTGTCCGTGTATTACGGTCAGTAACTACTGATCCATCGTTACGAGTACTAACCCCGCCATTAGTTAGTATTTTCTATCCACACCGATGGACGGTGTCCATTTCGCGTCGGCCATTAATTTTCTCCCGTTCTCCTTGCCGACCATCGATCGTCTTGGATCGTCTTAACGCTGTCGAAGGACAGAGTTCTCTCGTAACGATTAAAGAGCCCGGCTTAGGAGCTCGTAAACCGATAAAGAGGAGGAACGTTTTCGTTTGCACCCTTGTGTACGCGAGAAGGTACCTTTTCTATTTACTTAACGAAGCAATTCTCGTTCGCAACGATGCAGTACGCGAGTGAAACCTTTACGGCTACTATTTATTCGTACGTCGAAAAGTTCGGAGAAGCGTAAACGATCAAGCTGGTAGCGCAGTTCGGAACTGTTGAAAACTAGCAACGGTCCGTAAACACCGTAGACGTATGACAGTTGGTAAACGTGGTGGGTCAATAACGATCAGTAATTACCCTGCGCGCCCTTCCCTTTCATTCGCTCGAGGTGAGAGCAAGCAAGAAACTGGCCTTGGTCAGAATAATTCCGGCACACTGACACACGCGATGATTGCACAGCTCGTGACCGGATTTGATGGCTAAATCTATAGGTATAACGTGCATCGTGCTGCATATTCCATGGGAGATTCTCTACCACCTGATATCCGCATCTATTTTAGAACTAATTTCTATCTAAACTAAATTCAACGATGTCGTAATAATTTGTATTCGACCTTCGAAATAGATCAACCGGATGCTCTCAATATGGACGGTGCCAAATTTGTAAATTATAAGAATGTTTAGCCGTAAATCAATATTACCGAGGTATGGGTATTCTGTCGTACACGAGTGGACCGGGATTTCTGCAAATAAAAGTCGGATATTTTACGCGGCCGTAACGTTTCTCGCTCTAGATTCAACCGTGAAATATCGATGCTCGGGCAGAATTTATAAAACTTATACGCTCGCCATCGGACGTAAATACACGGGCCACGTAACGTACCGTGGCTGGAACGGTGGTCGCCGATCCGACGACTATTTTCGCGTTTCTCGGCTAACCGTGACGCGTTCGGAGGACCGACAGCCTATCGCGAGAAGTGCTATCAGCGAGGGATAATCCTGGCCGAGTTCGACGCGGGACGACGACGTTGTTCGTACTCGGAATTGGCCGTGAAAGCAGAGAAGAGATCCGTTCGCGATGATACGAACGCGACCTCCCTACGACTTTATATCTGTCGTAAAGTTTAGGCACCTGGTAACGAGGGATATGAATGCCTTCGCCATGAGATTGAATTCTTGATGTGTTTGTCCTCGCAAAATGTATAACCTTCGATGATACGCGAGGTGCTTTGTTGTATCAACGAACGAATTTTTATCCATCGTTCATATTAAGAGGAACTTTGTTACTCAACTAATTGGAAATATTCGTATGAAGTAATTGAAATTGTAGATAACAGAAATAATGAAATATTGTGAAAATATCAAGCGGTAATGTGAAGAGGACGGTATATGAAAAAATGGAGCTCCACTCGAAAAGTAGAAAATGAAGGGTGACGTCAATTTTTTAAATGAAATGTAAGGTAAATATTTCTACGTTCACATGGCCCTTATTAAACTGAATGACTTCTGCTTTCGAAATTAATTACAACGGTAATCAACGTATGAATTATTAAAATAAAAGGATGAAAATTCTATTCGCGATCGCATGGCAGCTTCGTAATTATATAATTAGTATCAAAGTTTTGATATTCAAGCGGCTTGTAGCACATGTAGAATCAAGCATTTCTCTCTACCTCTCTGTTGAAAATTAGCTGATTACATCGTCGGACTTTTAATCTTCTAATTCGTCGTCGAAAAAAGAAAAAAAGAAGTACACAGAGGAAGAAGAAGTGAAATTATCTCGTTGCGCTTGTATCGTAACGCGAAGAAGCTTCTTCCTCTTCGAGAGGGTATCAAATACTCAACAAGAGATTAAATGGAATGATTCGTTTGCCAGGCTCGCAGAAGAGATTACACACGAACGGTAGAAAAATTGAGCGTGGAATTGGAAACGGTGAAATTTGTCTTGCAACGATAAGATCACTTTCCAGACTTTTAAGCTCGTCGCCTCGTATCGCGCGAAGCTTTCGTCGAAATAGCTCCGCTTACCACGCGTTAGTCCTTTAACACGTACTCCTCATTAACGTGTAACTCGCATATTTCATGTTGTCCCGTCGCTTTTGTGCGAACTACTCCGGAAGGCTCTTGTTAGAATACAGCAAGGTTTCAGCTGTTTCCATCGCTCTATCTCGCGAAAACTTTTACGTAAGACGCTCGCCTTAAGATGCCGTGGCGTATTTAAAAAAAGCGGGAAACGATGCCAACAGCCGGAGGAACGAGCAGAACGATTACCTACGCCACCAGCAGCATTGGCTGCATCTCGAAGAATAATGAGAACCGACGAATAAACAGTCGCGACACGAGGATGGAAGGCGACGGAGGAAGAAAACGAGCCTCTAAAATCTCTCCGGTATTTTCCAGTATTTTCGCGTACACGAAATTCGTTCACGGAAAATTTTCCTCCGCGATGCAGTATACCGAAACGCCGATTGAGAAATCGCGAAATGACGTGCTCGCTGCAGTTGATGGACGTTCGATACACCTGTGAATTTTCAGCACCTCCACCCACTGCAGAATTTTAACGCCCCTCGATACATTTTATTTAAAATCCCCATCCATGGAGTCGCAAAAAAAAGTTAACGATTCGAAGATCTCCAAATATTATCGCGTTAATAATTGGAAATTGAAATTGAATAAAGAAGGAATAATAAAGTATTCGTCCCTCGTTTCTTTCTAAGCCTCCCTGGCTACCACGCCCATCATCGAATCGATTATACCTCGCTACTTGATTAATGGTGCACAGAGCTCTAAACGATTCCGGAAATGCGGTATGTGCTAGGTGCGCGTATAAACACAGCGATCGTCGGGAACGCGAATTCCTGTCGATCCAGGATTCGCGTGGACGTCCGCGAAACAAACGAAAATCGGAATCGAGTTGCTCCATTCAACTCGGGACTGAGTTAAATAACCATTCCGGTGAATTCCTTCAAGTTAACCGTAGAGCGCCGGTGTTAGAGTTTGCTGGAAGAAGCAAGAGAAACGCGAAACAAACCCGACGAACGAGGCATTTTACGTGCGAAACGAGCGCAAACAATCAACTGGTATCGCTCACGCGCCTCTTTCGATCAATATCAATCAAATGAGTAGAGGGAAAAACGGCATGGAAATTTGTATAGTCGTGAAAATCATGCCGTCGAGGCAAATAAACTTCGGCAAGGTATAGCGAATCGATTCGAAAAGTAATTTACTTTGTTTCATTCGCGAACGAACGTGTAGCGTTCGATAAACAAGCGTTCGTAAATATTAACGAACAATAAGTTTTCATTTCACTCCCGCTCCTTTTCTCCCTAGTTTTTATTCCGTACATATATAAAAAAATAGATGAGTAACGGTTCATCGCGGGGATTATTAATTTAGTTTCCATCGTCGGCGCATCCCGGAGAAATATTTGTTTCATAAAAGCGTCGTTTTAATTAAAACGGGTTTCCTTGGCGGTGGCCTGCGCATCACGGCTGGCATGCAGTCTTCCATTCGATTTACATCTCGTTTAAATTATTATTAAAAGTTCTCTCGGTAACGCGCGCGCATAATGCACGGACCCGCACAACCGCGAAATAACTCTTTAGAATTTAATGAATCGCGAATGAGACACCCGGTAAGTATTCATATTCATAATTTAAAAGCACTCTTCTATGAGTCGCGCCAAGTTATCATGCATTTCGTTTCACTGGCAAACAGGAATCTTCGCGTTGGATAGATTCTTGAATCATGCCATTCAGAATCCTGTCAATTTATGTGTTTTCAACTTGCCGACTGCTTACGCTTTCTCCCTAACCTCGTCAGAGGTGCCTGTTGTGTAACAGAATTTCATATCCTTCCGTTTCCTTCCCGCCTCGAGTTGTCATATTAAGTTATTTCAAAAGTTTCTGCCATTTTTCTTTGGGACCGTTGGCTCGGAATATAACGGATCACTGAATTGTAAACTTGAAGAATGGGAATATGGAAAATATGGAAAATGGAATGACAAGAAAAAACATACGCTCGTGGAACGTATGTAAATGCAAGGTGATCCGGGAACTTTGGAAATGACCTAATGTTTGCAATGTCTACAAGGAGATTGCAAGGAACACGTGTTACCCTTTCGAACGAAACCGTTGACGAGGCTCGTGTACGAAGTGCTCCTCAAATAGCTGGCCAAACTTTGTATCCTGTTCGCCTAGTGCTCGATCCTGACTACGGAAACGCTTCCCTTCCGAGCTATAAACACCGAAACAGCAGCAGTGTCTCGAGATATCGGGGGTACGTAGCTTTCGTGGATACCTGATGCGAGTGTCCCTTTGGGAACCGCGTTCTGCCGATTATTAA